ATTTAACTCCTCTGAGCTTCACTTCTGTAGAGTTGTTGGGAATGTTGGGAACACAAACACACCTTTATGATTATAAACTCTCTAGGACAATTCTCAGTATGCAGAGGATGTTCAACAAATGGTAGTGGGTCAGCCATTCCAGATGGATTCCTGAGAACTAGTGTGAGCATCACTGCACTGAGGCACTACAGGATGAGCCAAAAGCTAAGATGGATGGATGATGGATACACAGGGATCTGGTTGGATAACTGAATAGATGAATGGAAAGATGGATGGACGGAGGAGGGATGGAAGGATGGATAAATTAAGATGTGTGTACCTTTGGAAGGGCATGTAAACAGATGGTTGAATCATTTATGGGTGGAGAATGGAGCCCCTCATCCCTGTGGACACCCAACTACCTCACATTTGCTTCTTTGCCTCTTCCTTCTAACTCCCACTCATTCCTCGCCTTCACAATCAACTCCTGGGTTTATTTTAAGTGTCCTATTGAACAAATCACAAAACCTAAATTGGCTGGTTGAGGGTTTCTAGCATTCTAATTGTGAAGCATGCTTCTGAATGACTTAGGAGCTGAGGGGAGCTTGAAAAAAGCCCAAGATGCTGAGAGAAAATGAGAAACATGACATTTTGAAAAGGAAGCCAATTTTCTTTAACTAAAACTGTTGCCTCTGTAAACCATATTATAAATCCAATAAATTCACATAATTCTATGGTAAGTCCTTCACAAAAGAGAGAGAGGAGGGGAAAGGAAGAAAGAGAAAAAAGTATAAGAAAAATGTTGCAGAGATTTCCAAAGCCTTCCACCCTTTAAAAACAACTGCTTTGAACCTTATCATAGTTATTAAGAGTTAAACTACCTGAATTCAAATACAGGCTCCATCAATTCCAAGTGGCATAACCTTGGGTAAATCATGTACCCTTTCCATGCCTCAATTCCTTCATTTATAAGATGCAGATGATAATAATACCTGCTTCAATGGGTAGCTGTGAGGATTACGGAGATAATATAGGTAAAGCCCTTAGAAATGTTCCAGGTATATGGTAAATTCATGGTAAATGTGAGCAAATATTATTACTATTACTCCCACATACAGTCACTAGGTGAAGAACACAGCAGCAGGCAGGACTTGGGTGACCTAGATGCCCTAGGGAATACAAATGAACTTGTCACTGCTCTGAAGATCCTTATCATCCCCTACAGCTTCACATATTTATATTCTCTGCCCTGATTATCATCCCCAACCATGATCCTGACGTCATGTAACCCAAGTATGGATGTGGATTATGTGGTCCAGTCTCAACATAATGTTCTATTGAAAGAAACAATCCAGGAACCAAAAAGTAATTTAAAGTATTCAAATATTTGCTCAGCATCTCCAAGAATTTCAAAGGGAGACATGCATTAACACACAATAAGCGTCTTTAAAACCTCCTCTCACTGCTGCTTTCAATCTCTCACATAGCATCTCCCCCAAAATTCACCCTCTCTCCTCACTCTCAACCTCCCAGCCATGAGGCTTTTCTATTTCTTACCCCTCCATGTATTCCCATATTAGCTCTTCACCACGTAAACCATCTCAACCATCTGACAGCATTAGTGCCTTCTGCCCATTTCCTACTTTACCTGGATTCTGAACAACAAAGGTGAGCTCAGCAGGTGACCAAGAAGGCCAGAATTCTTACCATAGAATCAGGGAAACTTAAAAATACTCATTCATAACTGTTGTCTCTGCTACACTAAGTTCTCTGAAACCTCCTGCCTTGGCTCAAGCTATTTCCTCTGCCTAGAATGCACTTCAATTCTTTTGAGAGGCTTTTGGTTGGATCTGCATCTGTGTTGTGACAGCTGGGAATGAGGCTGGGATGGAGAACAAAGGAGATGTGAAGTCTAGTCTGGGCAGTCTGACTAATCTCTAGTCTGGTTTGGAAAATGCAGAATGTGCTCCCACATAGATTGGGTGACCCCTGGCTGAGCATGTGGTCCAGGAGACACAATGGCTAGTAAAGAGTTGACCTAATTGACCCCCAAAAACATAGGTCTTATGGCATTTAGGACAAAAGAGCCCCACGATGGGGACAAAAGGGAGGACTGGGAAGTAGGGCAATGTTCACCCACAATGTTCATAGCCACCAAATGCCACCCACTAGTCTCGATGAGGCAAGAGCCTCAGACTTGGAGGGTAGCACAAGATTCTCCAGACCAGCAGGCCCATGGTGGCATCTCTGTATCTTTACCTCCACCCCCTGCAATGTGGAGCCTGTTTCCCCTAGACCAGACCTTTGGAAAAACACCTTAGCAAGCTCATCTTTCACACTGTAGTTTACAGTTTTTAGTCTACTTTTACCTTTGTCCACATGAACCCATGAGACCACCAGGAGTGGAATCCCAGCTCTGGCCATAACTCCATTGACTTTGAGCATGTCACTACCCCTCTCTGGGGCTCAGTTTTCTTACCTGAAAAATGGGAGTGTATTAGTCAGGATAAATTGAGCTATGCTGCGTAACAAACAAGGCTCAAAACTCAATGCCTTTATACTACAACAACTTATTTCTTGTTCATAATATCCAAGGTGAGCCTGTGAAGAATTCTGCTCAACACAATCACACAGACTGAGAGTCTGTACCCTCTTGTAGCTGAACCATCTGAAACACAGGCATCTATATTCATATGGCAGGAGAAGAACTAAATTAGAGCAGGCTTCTAACTACCTCAGAAGTGACATGCATTACTCCCACTCATATTTTATTGGCCAGAACTAGTCACCTGGCTCTGCCTAATTCCAAAGAAACCAAGAAATATAAGAAAACAAATGGATCTTTAGTAAGCAATACTGTCTCTGCCACAAGGTACAATAATAATACCTCCCTTACAAGGTAACTCAAAGGATTAGATGAACAATTATATTTCAAAAGGATTTTAACATTTAAACCTCAGTAAAATATCTACTGTGCAGCTTCTATCTGCTAGGCCTGATGCTCAGTGCCAAGAATATCCTCATGGAGCTTACAGACTAGTGCATGAGACAGACAAAAATCAGATAATCCCACCAATGAGAGTGTAAGGAAGCACTGAGACAGGTGCACTGAGAGAGAGAGATGCATGGTGATGTAACAGGGAGCCCAGAATCATCTGGGGGTCCAGGAAGTATTCTCTGAGGTCATTCTTGAGTTAAGATCTGAAGGATCAGCAACCATTAAGTAGACAAGCAGTTAAAGAGAAGGTACAAAGAGCACTGATAGCAGGAGAAATAGTATAGACAAAAGCCCAGTGGCAGGAAAATTCCAGCTTGCTTGGAGGACTGAGAAAAAGTCCAAGAGGCTTGAGTCCTGAGACCAAAGGGCAGCATGGCATGAGAGAGAATCATTGAGTTCAGCAGGGGCCATACCTTGCAGGCCAGGACAAGGATTTATCAAACTGTGATAACAGTTAATTGTGGTCACCGTTACCACTTTGCAGAAGTAGAAACTGATCCCCTGAGATGCCAGGAGACCCAGTTAGAGTCACACAGCCATCAGAGGAGGAGCTAGAAACCTGATTCAAGTCCTAACTACTGTGTGGCCTCCTCCAAAAGCTTCAGGGAAATTCAGGACTAACATCCTTCTCCCCCATCAGGAACAATCCTAGATCCTTCCTGGGTCGCATTCAGCCTCCCAGCCAGTGATGCATGCCAATACACAGTGTTGGCCTGGGCTGGGCCAGCCCCATGGATGGCAGTTAGGATGGCTGAGGCCAAGAGCTGGGAAGAGACCACAGAGACCTCAGGCACTTCCCTTCTATACCAGCTGCACTGCTGTTGCACCACAGGGCTTTAGGCAAGTAATTTCCCCCTTCCAGCCCTCAGTCCCCCAATCTCTGAAATGAAAACATTGAACCAGATGGTCTTGAGGTCCCTTCCACCAACAGGAGGCTTAGGTGTGTTTTCCAGCTGAGTAATGAAGGGGGAAAGTGAATAGGCTCTGAACCCAGTCTTTATCTGGAGAACCGCAATTTGCCAAACAAGAAAATCAAAGGGAAATTGCAAAGATGATGAGGGATGAACCTTTTTTAGGAACAACAACCTAATCACAAGTCACTGCTAGAGAAGAAATGTCACAAAAACCTTGATTTGCAGCTTTAGGGAGCAGCATGCCATGGAAGACAGGCAATTAACAACGTGAGAAGCTTCTCAGAGGCACAGATGAATCATGGAAGGCAGTGCCTATAGGCTGGAAAGGATGCCAGACAGCACGTGATCAAAATCCTAGTCTGATTCATAAAGTCCTTGTGGAGCTGCTCCAGCAAGAAGCCAGTCTGAATCTTCCTGAACTCCCCTTGTAGTAGGAAGCTTCATACCCATTCCCCTTTTGGACAGTGGCCAGCACAGTGCAATGCACATAGAAGGAGCTCAATACATAATTTTGAATGAATGAATGAATGAATGAATGGCCCTGGTGCTGCTCAAATAACTCTCTTGATATTTTCACCCAGGAGTCCTGGTGCTACTCTCCGGAGCATGCTTGGTGTCATGACTGTCTATCTTAGGAAGGGATCACCCAAAGCAGACCCTGATTCTGAAAGTGCTTTTAGGAACCTCTAGCTGGAGAGTGGGGAAATAATTTAGGGAAAGGAAGGAACAGGTTACCACCGTGGGGAATTTTGGCTTAAAGATTTTTGCTTAAAGAAGATGATAGGGAACATGCTGGCCAAGATGGGAGCCACAAGCCACGTGGAGCTATTGAGGACTTGAAGTGTGGCTAGTTCAAATCGAGATATAGAGTAACTATAAAATACACACCAGATTTTGAAGACCTAGTATTTAAAAAAAGTAAAATATCTCATTGATGATTTTTGTATTATTTATGTATTCAGGGGACAACATTTTGAATATATTGGGTTAAAATATAGTATTAAAACTGATCTTATGTGATAATTTCTTTTTGCCTTAAAAGAACATAGGTGGCTCACAATTATGGCTCACATTATATTTCTATTGTTCGATGCAGACATAGAACATACCTTAGAGTTACTCCTCCCAAGGGGTGAGAGAGCTGAACTTCTACCCGCCAGTTTCTATGTATCATCGGTTGAGTGCTGCTCCCAGGGGTTAATTTCCCTGGTATTTCAACATGCCCCATGCACCAGCAAGTATCTGCAACCAGAGAAAACCCTCAGGCGGAGTTGCAGTATCTTGCCATAGGAAGCCACCAGCATGCGAGTGTAGGGGATGTGGGCGGAGTACCAGTAGCACCTGCTGTGCTGTGCCTTTCATCACAACTAATACACACCCCCAGGAAGCGGTAAGCCAAATTCCCTATTACACCATTATTACTCCTTGCTCATTCAGTCATTCACGCATCTAGACAAAAAGCATCTGCACTATGGGAATGCTGGCACACCAAGACAGCCACCAGCAGTCTTATTTTATCAGTGCCTCGGAGGAGAAAAGAAAAGGAGGACGGCCCATGGACTGTTAGCAGAGCTCAGGGGGTGCTTGGTGTTGGGCCCTGGATCAAGGGAAGGAGCAGGGACTAACCTCAGAGGTGAAAGCATGAAGGCTTGACCCTAAGTGGTGCCCTCTGGCCCAGCCCAAGGGGAACTTGGTCTGAGCAGCTCTAAGGTTTAATTGAATTAAACCAAGACAAGTTCCATTCTCCAGAGAGCCTAACATGACAGCTGTTAGGCATGGCTGGGGAGACAGTATGCCTCAACCACTCCATTGGTGGGAGAGATATTCCTGCCCTAGGGTCATGGGGATGGATGGCTAATTTACCACACTCGACACTGGACAGATACGCTTGACGGCAATGTGTTGATCACACATACGGCCCAGGTGAGGAGGACACTGCATGTCACACAAGGCCACATGGGCATCTTATGCCAGAACAGAGTGCGCCACCAAGGGCTGTGGGTGGCAGGCCTGTATTATCAAGAGAGTGAGGTGACCCTTGGTTCCCACGAGAGGATGTGATTGGCTTCCTTGAACAACCCCACGATCTGGCAGGGAATTGAAACCTGCTATTCAGGGATAAGAGGGAACTGCACCCGATCCCCTTGAGAAGGAGGGTTGCTCAGCAAGGGTACCTTAACTGTGGAATCAGAGTGGAAAGGGGAACCTGCAGTCAGGCCAGGCAAAGCCTCCCAGTTTCACCAGATGTAAACACAGCACACCACACTGTGCCTTAATTTTAATTAATGCGCCCCAAGGATGACAACAGCAGCAGCCACAAAACTCATCTGGGTTAGTGGTGTCAGCTCAGGTAGCCTCCACATGCACAGAATGTCAGGCCCCCCCCCCCATTCATTAATACTCAGTGCTGCCCAAAGTGGGCTCAGTGCTGTGCTTCAGCCTGAGGGGCGAGTGATGGAGACGCTCCGTTATGGGCACATTGCTGACCCTCCTGTCTCCTCCTAAATCTCCCAGCCCCAGCTAGGTCAAACATCCCCACCCCCGGCTATTTGAATCCCTCACTTTCTTTCCTACCTCTTGCATTTGGCACAAACAGACATTAATACATCTGCCCTTTGCTCCTTTAAGAAAACAGGCCCCATAACCCAGACATTTAGTTTTGCCCTACAGCACTGAGCATGGAAGGAAGCTGGCTGTCAGTAATAAGGGTCCAACCTGGGACCCTGGCTTCTAGACCCCACCTCCCATCCTTCCATCTTGTCTGCTCCCGGTGACTTAGCACAGCCAATCAGAGGGCTGGGTTTGCTTTCTGCACTGGCCTTTCTCAACTTCTATAATCAATGCCTGGCTTGAGACACCATCTAGACTGAAGCCACAGAGAGATGCACTTTGTTCTGCTCTTAATGTAGCCCAGGCATCCAGCTAATAAGAGCTTCAGAACACTGCACCTCAGAGAGATGACCCCCCCGAGGGCATATACGAGACCCTATGTGGCTACTACTCTGCTTGGGTGGGAACTCCAAGCTACCAGTGCTTGAAACCCACCCCAGGTACCTCCTTCCAGCTGCATTCTGGAGGTCAGGTCCCACGCAGACTCACCGTCCAGTGCTGATGGGGAGTGATGTCTGGGAACCAACTTCCCAAGCATCTGGAAGCATTCCTAGAGTCTGGCCAAATCTGTGTTGTTTACCAGAATGCCCCGGCTGGTAGCCTTATTAAATCCAATTTCCATCAGAATCTAGCAGTTAGGTCAGACCTGCCACTTTGGGCACCCAGGGACCATAACCCCACAGTCCAAAGAGGGGTTGAGAGACTCTATAAACAAGACACTAAAATTAGGCTTCAGATTCCTGGAGAAGCAAACAACACTGCCAAAGCTTTGCCGTGACTTATCCAGTGGGCAGCCTGCTAGGAACTTAGACTATGCTTCTGTTTCTGGGATCAGGGTTTTCTCTGCTTCAGTGAGAAGTCACCTTCTCTTGGGGCACCTGGGTGGCTCAGCCAGTTAAGAGTCCAACCTCGGCTCAGGTCATGATCTCATGGCTTGTGGGTTCAAGCTGAGAGCCTGCAGCCTGTTTCAGATTCCTCTTTCTCTGCCCCTCCCCTGATTGCACTCTGTGTGTGTGTGTGTCTCTCTCTCTCAAAAAGAAATAAACATTAAAGAAAAAAGAAGAAATCACCTTCTCTTTCCTGGGAAGGTGGGGGGTGGGGCTCGTGCAGAGAGTGACCCCTCTGAGAAGGAGAAGAGGCCAGTTTGGGAGGTTCTGATAACTAGTTTGCTGGGGCTGGCACAGACAGGATGGCCCAAACAGCAGAAAGTGAATTCCTCCCGGTTTGGAGACTAGGAGTCCAAGATCAAGGTGTCAGCAAAGTTGATTTCTGCTGAGGCCTCTCTCCTTGGCTTGCGGATGGCCTCCTTCTCCCTGTGTCCTCACATGGTCTTTCCTCCATGTGTGTGCATATCTATGTCCTAATCTCTTCTTTTTTAATGTTTATTTATTTTTGAGAGAGAGAGAGAGAGAGAGAGAGAGAGAGAGAGAGAGAGCGTGAACAGGGAAGGGGCAGAGCGAGAGGGAGATACAGAGTCCAAAGCAGGCTCCAAGCTCTGAGCTGTCAACACAGACCCCAATGCAGGGCTGGAACCCATGAACCATGAGATCATAACCTGAGCTGAAGTCGGACACTTAACCCACTGAGCCACCCAGGCGCCCCTGCTATGTCTTAATCCTTTAAGGACCAGTCCTAGGGGATTAAGGCCCACCATATGACCTCATTTTACCTTAATTACCACTTTAAAGGTACCATCTCCAAACACAGTCACATTCTGAGGTCCTGGGGGTTATAACTTCAACATATAAATTGGGGGCAGGGGGCATAATTCAGCCCATCCCTGACCCTTCCTCTTTCAGAGTCAGCAAGGTCAGGGTGCCTCGTACAGGGCAGGGTTTTATTTTCCTAGGAGACCAACAAGCCCCACCATGGAGTAAAGAATCAGAAGAAGGGCCTCTGTGTAAAATGGCCTAAAGAAGAGGGGGCAGCACCCCGAGAAGGAGACTGAGTAGAGGGGAAGATGAGGGCATTTGGATGGGGGCAAGAGATTAGGTCACCAGGTCAGAGCATGGATGTGAGCACATTTCCCTGGCAGTGTGTGTCCAGGAAGGATGACCGGCCCATGAAGAAGCTTACAAGATAACAAGGGATATTTAGCTTTCAGAAGAAGGGGATGGGATTCCTATCATCACTTCCCAGCAGAAAGGTAACCAGTGTGCCCCAGAGAAAACATTGGACCCGTGGGTATAAACCAAAGAGAGGTATCTTTCAGGTACAGGAAAATAAAAACATTCTAGGCATTGAAATGTTCAGCCTTGGAGTAATCTGCTGCCACCAGTAGCGACCTCCTTTCACTCCAAGTATTTCATTCGGGCTGGAAGATCATCAGGGCACTTAGGGAAGTTTTCCTGTAACTCCCGAATCCCTGTGATGTATCAGATAAGAGACTGAGACTACATAATTTAGCTCACAGACTGCCCTTGTGGTCCTTCAGGCTGCTATAACACCAGCCTCTCTCTTTCCACACTGGATGAATTTAGAGTAGCTAATGACACAAAATTCTGGCACGGAATTCATGACATCCATCCAAAATGTCCAAGCTACTTAGTATATATTCATAGTAGCTACTACTGTAAATCAACAGATCTTCATACACACACACACACACACACACACACACAACAGCAAGACAGTTTACCTAAAAAGTGTAAAAGAACTTCTGGGCCCTATCAAGAAATTAAGTCTTTTGGAAGAATTTGGCTGTGTGTCTATTGGATCAGAAGTACAACATCACTTGGGGCGCCTGGGTGACTTATTCAGTTAAATGTCTGACTCTTGATTTTGGCTCAATTCATGATCTCAGGGTCGTGAGGTTGAGCCACGTTCAGCGTGAAGTCTACTTGAGGGTCTCTCTCTCTCTCTCTCTCTCTCTCTCTCCCCCTCCCCTGCTTGTTCTCTCTCTCTCTCTAAAAACAAAATGCTAAGAAAAAAAACACAATATCACTCTAGAAGTCCCCCAAATTATGTCTACATCCCAATCCCAGTGAATACATTTTTTTATTGAGGTAAAATTCACAGAACATAAAATTAACTATTTTAAAGTGCACCATTCAGTAGCATTTAGTGCGTCCCCACTACCTCTCTCTAGCTCCAAAACGGTTCCATCAGCCCAATTGCAAACCCCCTTCCCATTAAGTCACCCCTCACATCTCACAGCCCCCAGCCCCAGGCAACCACTGACCTACTTTCTGTCTCTATGGATTTACCTTTTCTGGATATTTCATATGAATGAAATCATACAATGTGTGACCCTTTGTGTCTAGCTTTTTTTTACTTAGTGTAACGCTTTTGAGGTCCATCCATGTGGTGGCACGCATTGGTATTTCATTCCTTTATATGGCTGAATGATATTCCATTGTCCTCAAACTTTGAATAAGATGCTTCTCTTTTTCACTTTGAAGTGGGCTCAGAAATTATGAAGCTGGTCTCAGCTGGCTCTCATGGGGGTTTGGAGCCAGTCACGCTCAGCAGGACTGCCGCCTGCCCTCCATTCCATGCACCTTGCACCATACAGCCGAAATGGTCTTCCTCGGGGAAGCCTGACCATGTCCCTCCCTGTGTAAGATCTTCCCGCAACTGCCACTCATCTGCCCCCAGCCTGTCTGTGTCTCAGCCCCATGGCTGTGGGCCCCAGCTCTCTGAAGGACCAGGCTCTGGTGACTCTCCACGTGTCCCTCCTGCCCCCACCTCCCCCCTCGAATTGGTTCTAAGGTCCTAGTGCTCAAAAATCAGGCAAAAGTGGTGGATGGGCCATCAGATCAGTGGTGACAAAGCTGCAATTTGCCTCAAGGCTGACCTTCCAGGAAGACAGGCTGAGAGATTGATGAGTCCATTGAAGCTTTCACGCTGACACTTTTGGGGATCATGGCGCTTACTTACGAGGGGACTTATGTAACCAATGAGATATAAATAAGCACATTAAAGTATTCCTGCTCCAGCCCAGCTTAATGGCCAAGAAACTAATTGTCAGAAATTGGAAAGGGTCTGAAATAAATACGGCACTTCATGTCACATAGGGAACCCGGCCAAAGACGTCAGATTAAACGCAGGGATGTTGAGAGCATGCTTCCAGACACCCACGGAGCAGTTTTTTTTTTTCATTTTGGTCATTAGGTTCTCCACTTTCTCACATTAACCAACACAGAACAGTAACCAGCACCAGCTTGATTCTACCTTCTTCCCAGAGCCAGGAGAGTGAGCCAGAAGCCGTGGGTCCAGAGATCACCCGTCTGGCTTGTCCTCTCAGTGGCTGATGCCTCTATGGTCAGGAGTGTGTGACATCAGAACCTCAACCGTGAACAGGGGTGTCACAGGTCAGCCTTTGTAGACTGGGGTCCCAGTTGTCAAAGCTGCCACCTGCCACCTCGGCCTTCCCCTGCTCCTCACCAGGCCCTGGGTCACCACCTCCAAGGTCTCACTCCACCAGGGCAGCTCTCTCCTTAGTCTCTCCCCCTCCAGATTCTTTCATGCCACCCTTCAGATGGGTTTATCTCCCCATCCAGACAGGAGCCCCCTGCCCTGGCTCCACCTTTCCCCAAGCTGCCATGTCTTCTCCTCCCCCCACCCCCCGCAACCGGCCATCCACATCTGCTGCCCAGCCTTCTTATCCTCCTCCAGGACCTCCAGCCTCCAGCTTCTGGAGTGCATCCCTCCTCCACACAGAGACCTTTCTGAAGCATAACACAACCCAACACCCTCCACCTAAACCTTCCAGCAGCCTTTAATCCCCAAGAGGAGGCCACATCTCAAGCTGGGCATTCTAGGACCATCTTGGCATGGCCTCCTCCCCCTCATCTCTCATGTGGCAAACACCCTGCAGCACCTCCCACCCTCCTCAGGCCCCTTGCCTGCTCATCCTTCCCAAACCGTATCTCTCCCCCATTCATGCACCACTCCCTATTTCCTGCCTTCCACCCCTGGGAGCCTTGGCTTCCCTATCTGTAAATGGATAGGTTTGGACCAGCTAATCCCCAAGGTTCCTCCCTCTTGGTTCTAAAAGAATAATGCAGCTTACCCTTTGTTCTGAGTATCCAAGTGCTTTCCATGGAAAACTCAGGAACAGCCAGCAAGGATCCCAGTGGAAGCAGCGGGCGTTTTCTCTCTCACGCCTTTCCCCCCTCACTACTTTCAGTGTATTTCACCATCTCATGAACAAAAATAACCTGGTTTGATTCCCTAAGGAAAAAAGAGGAAGCTGAGAGTTAAATCAGTGTCCACTCTCAGAAAATCAAAAGGAAAAGTAGAGAGAAAACAAAACAAAACATAGGAGACATCAAACCTGTAGACTGACCAGATAACTTACCCCCCAGCAGCTGGGGACCCAAATGGGGCCAGAGGGACTTGGGAAGTTGAGGCAGGAAGAAAGGTTTGCCCACAGTTCCCTCATGGGATCCTACTCAGAGGTATCATGAAACATTGACACCTGTCAGTTCAGCTCAGACATACAACCATTCCCTTCTTACTTGACGTATCAGTTAAGGGCAAGCGCTCCCGCCAGTGGGAGGTCTGATTCTCAAGACGTAAAGTGTACAACTCTGCATTTGGGGAACTGGCAGCTTATCTGTCTCCTGCTTGATCCTCAAAGCAGATGTAGTCCAGCCATCTGGGGAGGAAGAAGGATGGGCTGGTGTGTCTTCAGATCATAGAGGACAGGGACCCCAGCTGTTACCTGTGGGTAGTACACCAGAGTTGAACAATAAAGAAAGGGACTTTTATTCCTATTCTTTTGTCACATGGTAATTATTTGGTTCTGTTTCAACCAACATATGCAGTACTTGGCTTGGGTGTTTTGTTTTGTTTTGTTTTGGTTTTGTTTTGTTTTGTTTTTTTAATGCGCCCACAGATGACAGAAGTTTTATTCCCCGGGTTGTTCGAGGAAACAAACTGATCCTGGAAGGCCAAATTACCTGTTGGTCATCTCCAGTGTGTTAAACTATCATCTATAGCATGGTCTGCAAACTATGTGACATAAGCCAAATCCAGCCTGCCATTTATTTTTGTAAGTCCCACCAGCTTAGAATGTTTTTTTTTTTATTTTTTAATGATTTTTTCTTTTAGTCCAAAGAAGACTAGTGAAATGTGAAAATTACAGAAAATTCAAATTCCGGTGTTCACAAATAAAGTTTTATTGGAACACATCTGTGCACATTCATTTGCATAGTGCCTGTGGCTGCTTTTGCACTCCAACAGCAGCCTATGTAGCCCTTAAAGCCAAAAACGTTTACTATGTGGCACTTCACAGCGTTTGTCAACCCCAGCTCTGTATTTCCACATCCTGTTATTCAAGTATTAAAGAGTTAAGAATATATTTAAAAATGAAATTTTAATCAAACATCTGTGGAACCTTGAGTATATTCTTGAGGAACACTATTTGAAAACATACTTAAGGATTTTGTTTAGTAATGTGGGGTTTTTTTAGAAAAATCTTTTCCTCTTTAATTTTTTCGCTATGGAAAATTGTAAACATGTTCAGCAGTATACAGAAAATATAATGAGCCCCCATATGCCCACCACCCAGCTTGAACAATTATTGATTTATGGCTGATCTGGTTTCAACTGTATCCCACCCACCTCCCCCTCCTACATTATTTTGAAGCGAATCCCAAACAGTATATAATTTCATCTGTAAATATTATGTGGCATACGCAGTTTTAAAATAAACTTTTACAACTGGGGAGACTGTGACAAGCTGCATATAATAAGGAGATTTCTGCTAAAGAGTCAGAAGCCCGTGGGGAGGGAGGTAGGACACACACTTTCTAACTGATTGAGAAACGCATGTCACTACCTGATTTTCCAACCAAACTCCAGGCTGGGTGACAGTCACCAGCCATCAGGATAGGGGAGCCTCTCCCTCCCCCATCTATCATGATCAAGGAAAATAAATTAGAGCTAAGGGCAACAAAAGGGGGCTGGTTAATATAATTCAAGACTGCAAAAGAGACAGAGACACTTTCAGCTTAATGAGTTTGGAAAGCCATATGAGTACTGGCATAAGACGCACCCTGGCAGTGGGTGATGCTGGCTTTTTTTTCTCTTTAATAACCAGGGTCAACAGGAAAGAAGGAGAAGCAAGCTGCCTTTATGCAACCAGACTCTTTCTTTCATCTTCTCCCTTCTGCCACCTCAAGAACCCAAAAGACACCCCCAAATTCCACTATCCATGGTGGGGAGGGGGTGGAATAAGAAAAACAAGAGCCATGCAGGGGGTCAGGAATGGAGGGAGAGGCAGAGAGTGTGAGCAGGAAGCTTCCCCAGAGGTCAGACCTAGCTGGTCACTGCGGCCTGCATGCAAGGGGCCAGTTAGCTGGGTTAGGGATGTCATGCCCTAATAAAATTGGAGGGACAGCATTTATATGTCAGCTTGGCTTGGCTACAGCACCCAGTTTATTTAATCAACCACTAATCTAGATGTTGCTGTGGAGGTGTTTCGTAGATGTGGTTAACATCTACACTCAGGCAGAATCCTTTACTTTAAGTAAAGGAGATCATCCTCCATGATGTGAGTGGGCCTGCTTCATCTAATCAATTGAAAGGCCTTCAGAGCAAAACTGAGGTTTCTCTGGGATGAAGACATTCTGCCTCAAGACTGTGGCATGGGCTCCTGCCTGAGTCCCCAGCCTGATCCCCTGCCCCCCAAATGTCAGATGTGCCAGCCTCTGCAATCACCTGAGCCAATTCCTGGAAATAAATGTATGTATATAAATATATAACTGAAGAGAAGGATCAAATGTTAACTCATTTTCTCACAATTTTACAATCTGTAAAATTGTCCCCATTTTATAGATGAAGAAACTGACGCACAGAGAGGTTGGGATCACTGTGAGCCTGCCCTAAAGGGCTGATGGAGCGATGGAGCATGAGAGCAAAGGTGAGGGAAGCATTTGTGCCTTCCTTGCAGGCTCACCTGAGAGGCTCCAGTTCCCTCCAGGGGAGGCAAGAAGACACCCACCTGGAAAGGGGGGGTGGACAGGAAGAAAACACTGAAAACCAAAGCAGATTGCACTTTCTGACCCCACTATAGCAGCATCAACAAAGCCCAGAGCAATCCCCATAAGTTATCCCGTCACATTTCCACGTTACCACAATGAACATCTAATATAGTAAATCTTTTCGTGTTCTCATTTACACTGTGTCCCTAATTTTATCTTACACTGTGCTTCAGGAGCTACTAATTCAATCAAAGATACCTTGATCAAGCCCTCTTGCTGCGGGAGAGGGAGAGAGATGATGCTGAAGACATCCATAGGAGGAGGCAGATGGTCCATGACGCCCAAGGAATCTTTGCTTGAGGAACCACATCCAGGGGCCCTGAGACGGGTGGTCTCTCGCAGGCATGTCATCCAGGCTCCTTCTCTGCTCCAGCTCCAATCTGGGGACCAGCCATGCCTGTGTATGTGTCCCCCACCCTCTTCCTTGGAAACATACCTGACTGTTTTGTATTCCAAATGCAAACAGTCTGACAAGGTGTCAAAGTACCCTGAAATGCACAGAGATACCCGTGGAACACAGTCAGAGGACCGGTTCCTTTGGTAGGGCCGGCCCAGTGGGGGGCTCTCTAAATAACAGGGTCTGCCTGCTGGACAACCTCCGGAATAAATCCTACCTTTCTGGAAACTAGAAGAGCAGGAACTTGTTTTCCCAAGTGGAAGCCTCATCCACACATGATCTTTCAGCCCATGAGAAAAACCCAGTCTGGGGACACCAGGGGAACCCCAACACAATACAGGCCATGGTGAACAATGCAGCCCAACAAGCCAAAGGCTGTGCTGTTCCTGAGCTCACATGCTGGGGGTGAGCTTTGGAGGGCATTCCTCACGTGGCCCTCAAGCCAGCAGGACCCGGGGAACCTGAAAAAAAATGCCTCTTCAGCAGCCTTTTCTCCAGCTCTAACACTGACTCCTAAGCTCTCCCCACCATCCATTTCAACCACACCCTCTCTTACATCCCACCAGGCATCCTCCTTTCTTGGACTCAAGCAGTCCCCTGGGTGGACCCATCACCCTTAACATCACACTGGTCTGTTAGTAGGAGGGTGTCCCCATGGAGCCAAGAGCTCTCTAGACTCCCAACCCAGGCGAGCTGTGCCTGATGTCCTCCCTCCCCGTCACCTTCTTCTTCACCTTCCCCTGACAGTCACAGGCTTTATTCTATGCCAGGACCTACTCTGGGTGCTGGAGAAACAGGAGTGAACAAGACAGACCTGGTCCATGCCCTTCTGGCGATTCCGTGCTATTCATTTGTTCAGCCAACAAATACCCATAGAAAACCCACCACTATGTACTGGGCACAGTTCCAGGTGCTGGGGAAACAGAAGTGAACAAAGAGAACAAAAATCCCTTCCCCCATAGAGTTTACATTCTAGATAAGACACTCCATAAATCGTTACACAAATTATTAATTACAAATGTGTAGCTGCTACAGGGACAGAGCTCAGGACATGAAGAAAGCATACAGCCAAAAATCTAACCTGGTGACCCCTTAGGAACCACATTAACAGAGGCTTCAAGGAAGAAGGGTAATTAGCTGGAAGGGTGAGGGTGGAACCTGAAATAAGGTAGTGGCAGGCTTGGGGTCTCCTGAGGCTGTGAAGAAGAGATCTGTTCCAGACCTCTCTCCTTGGTCTGTGCATGGCCGCCCTAAATTCACATGACCTGTCTCCATAAGGACATGGGGCATACTGGATTAGGACCCACCCTAAAGACTTCATTTTCACTGGGTTAAGAAACAAAATTCAGGGGGGCCTGGGTGGCTCAGTCAGTTAAGTGTCTGACTCTTGATTTCGGCTCAGGTCATGATCTCACAGTTCGTGAGTTCTAGTCCTAAGTCGGTTTCTGTGCTGACAGTGTAGAACCTGCTCCGGATTCTCTGTCTCCCTCTCATTCTGCCTCCCTCTCTCTCTCTTTCTCTCTCTCAAAATAAATAAACTTTAAAAAATAAATAATAAAAAAATGTTTTTTAATTCAAACAAGTCCCTTTGAAGATCTAATTGGCTTTATTAAGCAGTTCATGAGGCAGGCAGCATCCCGCCTAGCGAGCAGAGAGGTCTGGGTTGTGCAAAATGGAAGGTTTTCAAGGGAAGGAGGGTGGGGCAAGGAGGTTACTAGCAAAATAAAAGAAGGAATCAGACCAGGACTCCATCTATTCTCACAGAAGGGAGCCAGGGTTGTTGTTTTGCAGATGACCTTACTGGTGTTGATGAGGAAGTTTCAGATTGACCCCTAAAACATTCCTAGGATCTGTTGACACGCTAATATTTAAGTCTCAGTTTGCTGTCATGGGGTGGGGTGGCAAATGACTCCATTTGGGGCTCGTTTTTCTGTTTTCGACAACCAAATTACTTCTCTCAAGACCCTATCCCAAATAAGGTCACATTCTGAGGTACTGGGGGACAGGACTTCAACATGAATTTTGGGAATGATTCAACCCATAACACTGACTAAGAAAAGTTTGGTGGGGAGTGAGAAGTTTTCACAGCCTTTCATATTTTTAGAGAGACTCGGTCAAGAAAACCCCTATGTACCCTTTTTAACTAACTTGACAGTCTGATTGTTCATCTGGGGCCATGCTTTACAGAAAGGACCATGCCGTCTGAGGTTCCCAGTTCCCAGGGGTGAAAATCCTACCCCACAGACATTCCTGCCGGACACTTCAGCCAAGGATGGAACTAAAGGTTTGTTACCCAAAACTAAGTTTGCCTTTTAGTGGGTGTCAAGCCAAAAGAAAACGACCAAGCCACAGAATAGGAAAAGCAAGGGTTTTACTAGCAACAGGTAAAGGAGAACACCAGAGATATCTCCCAAAGCAGTGTCTCCTTGAGCAACAAAACTGGGGAAGTTTTAAGGTAAGGAGGCATACCTGTTCATGAATCAGCTTGCCCAATGGGGAATCCAGCATGGAATTGGGGCAAAAGTCGTTTTAAGGGGACAGAGTTCAGGTCAAAGTCATGAAGGCCAGCAACGGTCAATATTGTCAATTCTCCGGCTTTAGTTGGTCGGTGTCTGAATACTCAAGGGGGCTTAGATCCTGCAAAGATAGAACATGCTTCAGGTCAGTCTTTACTTCTGAACCAGCACTAGAAGCTTTACCTCTGATTCATTGCCCCTGATATGATTAGGCTCTCTCCTGGCCTGATAGTGGCTCTTATATTCTTTTGTTCCCCTAAAATCATTATCTACTGGGGTCTATTTTTATGCAATCTCAACATATCCCAGGAATTTCTGTAAGAAATGTGCTTTGGGCATGGATCACAAGATGGGCAGAGACCTAAAACGACTTTTTGTATGTCTTGAAAGCTTTGTCTTTTATTTTTCCTGGGACCCCTAACTCTTTCTGCTGACAGGTTGGGCTAGCTACAAAGCGTGAGCCAGTGAAACGTAAGCAGGGCGTTGGGGAAGGCTGAGAAGGAAGCACAGTAGATTGTCCATTTTCCTGTCAGTTCCCAAAAATGTCTGGAACTTTATCTATAATAAGACTGTCTCCTGTCAGAGGTCCCCCAATCTGAACCACAGTCACCCAGGGAACTTGTTAAAATACAGATTCCCGGGCCCTGCTTTGGAAAGACCCCAGACGTGTAATTTTCTTACATGCCCCAGGTGACTCAGGTCTCCAGTGGATTTGGAAGCTGCTGGCACACAGGCCCTTTCTTCCACTGGGCCTGAACATAAACATGTACTCAGGGCTCTGTGGAACCCAGTGGTTTTGATCTGTGGGGAACTGGCACAATTCCTAGCCCTTGATTATCCCACTAAATTGTCTCAAGACAGATTCTGATTTCCATTTCTATTCCTGCCTCTCAGCTCTGATTACTTCAGCAAATGCTTTTCAATTGCCCCATTCTTTTCTTTCTTAAAGAACAGCCTCTAACTTCAATTTTTTTTTAAATATATATCAGCCATTTCCCACATTCTAGAAGCTTTGTGCTTTCTACCTCGGGGGAGGGTTTAAGAAAATATTTTATTTCTCCTACTTTTGATTCCTTTAAGTCAACAGAGATACCCTTACACAACATTGATCGAACCTTTTAAATGTGGTTAGTTAGAGATGGCCACTGGAGAGTTACTCAGCTGACAGTTTGGATTGGCCCCATGGCTGATGCTGGCAGTTCCCTGCCCGTGGACCTCCACACACCATGGTCTGCTTAGGGCCAGCCCTGCAACTCACCTCCCGTGGCTGTGGGTACAGGCAAGACAAACCAGAGTCCTAAGGAGTTCACATCCCTGGAAGTAGCCCTCAACCAACTGGCAGACCAGGGATTGGTGGATAAATGCTCCAGCTTTTCTGTTTCTCCACGGAGAGAACTCAAAGCCATGTTCTACACTGGATCCCAGAGGTCCCTGGCTGAAATGAGGTCTGGTTGCTCACAGTGGCAACCTGCTCCATGATACACCCCTTACTGACTTCCTGCCCCTCCCTGTCTCACTTTCTTCATGCTTTACCAGATGCTTCCTGGGGTCACCTCCCAAGGAAATGACTTGCACTCAAATCCTTGTCTCAGCCAAAAGGAACTCAAAGCAAGATAGGCACTGTCCTAAACTGTTCTTCCTGTGCTAGATGGCAGCTCTTCCTCAAGAACTCAAATCCCAGACTGTACCGTATTTTAAATTTGGTTACAGGACATTTAAGGTGCAACATCATAGATCACAGCAGGTCTTTCCTGGCCATGCTAAATTCAATCCTGTAATTCTATCTGAATGTTCCTCTGAGACTTGGGACCAAATCGGGTTTGAAGCTCAATAAATTGTCAGCATCTGCATTTCAACCAAAAGGCCAAAATAGAGCTTCTGGAGATAGGGTTGTAAACTGGTGCACCCACTTTGGAAAGTGGTCTAGCAGTTGCCCCAAATGGTAAACAAAGTTATCAGCTGATCCAGTAGTTCCATCCCCAGGTCTATACTAAAGAGAACTGAAAATATGTGTCCTTATAAAACTTGTATAGGAACCGTCATCGCAGCGATATTCATAATAGCCAGAGTGTAGAAACAACCCAGGGGCACCTGCGTGGCTCAGTTGGTTAAGCATCTGTTCATCTGTCCCACTCTTAATTTCAGCTCAGGTCATGGTCTCATAGTTCATGGGGGTCATAATCTCAGGATTCATGGGTTCAAGCCCTGTGTCAGGCTCCATGCTGGGCTCCATGCTGGGAGTGCACAGCCTGCTTAAGATTCTCTTTCTCTTTCTGCTCCTTCCTCTTTATCATTCTCTCTCTCTCTCTCTCTCTCTCTCTCTCTCTCTCTCTCTCCTTCAGAATAAAGAAATAAACTTTAAATCTTTTTTTTAAAAAATGAACTACTGGGACCTCATCAAAATAAAAAGCTTCTTCTGCACAGCAAAGTAAACAATCAGCAAAACTAAAAGGCAACTGACAGAATGGGAGAAGATATTTGCAAATGACATATCAGATAAAGAGTATCCAAAATCTACAAAGAACTTATCAAACTCAACACCCAAAAAACAAATAATCCAGTGAAGAAATGGGCAAAAGACATGAATAGACACTTCTCCAAAGAAGACATCCAGATGGCCCACCGACACATGAAAAAATGCTCAACATCACTCATCATCAGGGAAATACAAATCAAAACCCCAATGAGATACCACCTTACACCTGTCAGAATGGCTAACATTAACAACTCAGGCAACACCATATGGCGAGGATACGGAGAAAGAGGATTTCTTTTGAATTGTTGGTGGGAATGCAAGCTGGTGCAGCTACTCTGGAAAACAGTATGGAGGTTTCTCAAAAAACTAAAAATAGAACTACCCTACGACCCAGCAATTGCACTACTAGGCATTTATCCAAGGGATACAGGTGTGCTGTTTCGAAGGGACATATCCACCCCCATGTTTATAGCAGCACTATCAACAATAGCCAAAGTATGGACAGAGCCCAAATATTCATCGATGGATGAATGGATAAAGAAAATGCGGCATATATATACAATATATATACAATGTGTATATATATATATATGTGTGTGTGTGTGTATGTATATACACTATAT